ACTTTATCTTTTACATACACAAGAAGCTATAGGTATACACGTCAATAAGCGTAATCATTTTGTACAGAAAAAGTTAGTTCATCCACTTAACTTACCATACTGTTCTTCTTAGTATGTTTCTCATAAAATGTTTATATCTTATTTAATTTTAATTAATGATTTCGTTCTACATAATCTATTTTTATTTAATAAATATTTTGAAATTAAAAGATAAATAGTGGTCGGCAGTGGAATCCAGGACGAGCGTTACGTCCTATTTGGGGCTCGTCAGCTGGATGTACCTGCATCTCAGAGTTGATGTTCAATCCTAAGATGGAAGTACATCCAGCTGACGAGTCTCAAATAGAATGACACCTGCGTCCTGAATTCCACTGCTGACGACTATCCATCTTTGCTTAGAAAGCTTGTGAATTATAGCAATATCGAGGCAATACGCACAGTATGCACATATGCCAATAACAGACTGATCATTTGCAGTCTTAAACCTCAATGGAAAGATTATAGCAAAACCATACCAAGTGAATTTTGAAATTAATTCTAATTCTTAAATGATAAGTTGTTGTATTTAACCAACTACGTATTCTCATGTTTATATCTAATTGTGAATTCCAAGTTATCATTGTTTTGAAGAAAATAATGCAATACATTTTTGAATTGATCAATCACCGTTTATTTATTGTTGGTTTCATTTTGAATTATAAAACTTATTTATAGTGTTGGACCCTGATGAAGAAAGAATTTGAAAAATATTTTTTTCCATTCAACTTGTGTTTTCAATGTTATAATATGAATATTTAATAAACGATTAGTGTTTAAAACATAAAAAATTACCAGTATAGGGTTGAGAAGTGATCATCGTTGGACCGTTATTGAAAACCCGAAAGCATTGAACGGCCGTTTAGTCCTAGTATGGAACTCCTCGGAATTGTTCGACTCTGTGAACGGTAATCAAACCGGCGACTTTCAGGCTCGAGCACAAGCACTTAATTTCTAAACCATTGAGAAAGTATACAACAGTGTTGATGTGTAATTTCAATCAATCCACAACATAACACGACCATCTTCTGTTGTCTATAGTGGATAACTGTCCCACAAGATGAATTAGTCTTTGATTGAGTTAAGTAATACTATAACGAAGAGAAACAAAAGTCCACTGACCTCAAATATTTAATTCCTCTTATAATTTTAAAAGAGGGACATAAACAATGTATCTGTTCATCGTAATGATTAGCAAGCAACGAACTCCGCTTTTAGTGCGCTTCTAAAAATATTATTGCTATCAAAGTTTTTTTTAAAGTGACTTAATTATATAGAAGGAAAATGTAATGAAACTGTTTAATTCGATAATAATAACTGTCTTGAAATAATGTCATCTTTGTTAGGTCTATGGACTTTCGCTGAATTATATCTTCTCTATATATGTCGTGTAAATGATGCAGTCACCTACTTTGTTTTATTATTCATATCATTACTATTACTACTACTCAAACACTACTACTATTAATATTCATGCTCTCATCTATATTACCTTCTCATATTACTAAATGTTTTACAAAACAATTACGCGTAAATCTTGACTCTTGTGTCTAGTTTTGTTGATAATGACTTATTCATCTTATTAATTGTCTCATTTTGAATATTTTAGTTTCAGTAAGTACATTATGTAAATAATTTACTTTCAGACAGATTTTTAATGCAAATGTAAACTGTTTGAAGATGATAATTAGTTTTGTCTTCTACTGAAATATTATTATTATCATTAAGCTGAGATATATGGAATTTTGGTTTCGCCAGGGTAACATTCAAATTGACTATTAGTTTTATGTTTGTACTTTAACAAATCAAGGAGTTCTATACAAAAAAGTTGTGTTCCTCTTTGCCATTTCCTCAAGGGATTCTAAGTTAACGTTTGCCTCGTGATGCAGTTTGAGGATTTCCGTAATGTATATCTTATCCACTTCCAGAGTCTTTGCCTAATTTCCTCTTCAGATGAAAGCTGGTTTGTTCTCTCCTATAGTAGTCTGTTGCTGATAGTACCCGGCCAACGGACATTCAGTATCATACGTAGACAATTGTTTATTTGTACTTCTATCTTTTTGATCAAGGTTGTCGTCGTTTTATACGCTACAACTCCGTACAGTAGAACTGTTGAGACGTTCGTATTGAAGATTCTCACTTTGATATTGGTTGACAGTTGCTTTGAGTTCCACATGTTCTTCAATTGTAGGAATGCTGTCCTTGCTTTGCCAATCCTCCCATTTACGTCTGCATCGGATCCTTCTTGTTCACCGATGATGCTACCCAGATAAGTGAAAACATTCCACATCCTCCAGAGTGGTTGGGTTGGTGTTCTCCGTGTAGTATATGAGGATCCTACTTTCTCCTGTGTGTATGTTGAGGCCTACTGGTGCGAAGGCTGCTGCTGCACTGGCTGTCTTCATCTTCATTTATTTGTGTGTATGAAATAGAAGTCAACTGTGGAGTCCTAATCGTCTAGTTGTACGCAAGCTGTCGACTGTATTTTATGCTACCAACAAATAAACCAATCTTTGCAAAATCATCTCTCTAATGTATAAGTAATACTCTATTTGATAGTAGTTTTAAAAGTTTCGATTATATCATAACAAATCGTTTGTATTAAGACCATGCACAATATTACGAATTGTATAAAGAAATGACTTTTGATGAAATGAAGTTTAAGTCTAATAAATGTTAGAATTTTGTTGAGATTATGTGTATTTATAATGAACTGTAGAAGTTGAAACAAATAAATCTTTCAAGGAATTTTCATCTAGATCACTGAGCCGTCATCCAATGGTGTTAATGTCTAACTTCAACTAATCCACGAAATTGAGTGACGCATCCACCATTGTCATCAGTGAGTTACTACCTCACAACTGACCCGGTTTGAACTCCACTGGTCACTGATTCTCACTAGAACTCCAGGATATATCTCATGAAGCCAGTCACTAGTGTGCATATCGAAAATTAATAAAAAAGTTTATTTCATACATAAAATTGAAATGTCTAAAATGTAGTTTAGAATAAGTATACAATGACTACATATATAATTTAATTGTACTTCTAATCAATCTGTGGAAATCACCATTAAATCAATTGGTAGTTTGCATTTAATCGATCAAACAACTATTATGTATATACAGTAATTGCTCCTATTAGGATATCATTGGTACTCATGTTTGATCCATAATCATAAAATATATCATTTATGTAATGCTTCATTTATTTCTGACTATTGGATACAATGAACATGAATAAACCACAAATTGATTCAATTGCTTATTTAAACAAAATAAAAAAAAGACGAAATTGAATTTATTGCGTATCTACTCAATAAACCATTTCAGTGACTTAATTATTCACCTATTTAACCTATGGTTTCCTGCTACCTTAACCGATATGACATATTCTTTTATAATAAAGACTTTATACGTAAATCACACAAAGAATTGTTTCTAATATAATGATTTCTCTCTTACCGTATACGAAAAGTAGTTCTCTGATTAGTCTTTCTCATCAATGATATACAAACACACTAACTAAACGTATGGCTTTACAGAAATCCTATGTCTATCTCTATCTGTACTCAAAAATTCTTGAATAGTTTTCATAATATAAACAATTGAATACGTGACTAACACACATTTATATTTTCATATAAATCCACTAAATAGAAAAAGACAACCTAACTTGTGTTTCCTGATGAAACTGTCTATCTATATATATACATATATCTTTTTAGTTAGAGATTTGAAGACCAATTTCATATATATATACATCAGCCTACTTTATTTAGTTAAAATCTATAATTTCTCTCACCTTCCTCAAAATTCCCAACACAAGGTCGTTTTATTTGTATTAACCAATCATAACTATGGGGAAATATTCTCAAACTCTTACTGTTAGGATGATATACATTATTTTTCCTACTATTATTATGTATATTAGATAATATTATACTATTCAAATTCAATTAATTATTTAGTTAGTTGTAGTTTCAATGTATATTCTGATATGAAATTCAATGAAACCTTTTTGACAATGACTATGATATTTAGTTTTTTCTTTAAAAAAAAATAAAGAAAGAAAACTATTCTTTCATTAAATATTCTTTAACATTATAATATTGTAATCAATTAATTGTCACTTGGATACTATCTATAAAGATTATGAAAGGGGGAAATAATATACATAAAATTATATGATTATTTTTCCGGATTATAATCAATATTTATTTATGCATATATACCTCTATTCAATATTATCATAATAGTCATCTTTCATTTTGGAGTATTATTTTAATGAATTTATAAATTCAAAGTAATGATATATAATATTATTGATAAAAGAAAAGATCTACATAGCGATTTAGTACATTATTATTATTATTATTATTATCAATATTATTATTATTATTTAGTACTGTTTCTACTGATGAACTTAACATTAGGACGAAACTCTATAATAAATGATCAAATGCATATATCAACCTTCCATTCAACTATAACATAATGCTTAATATATTTTCTATATGTATATATATATGGTAAAATAATATTATTTATTTAATAATTGAATCAAAGGAATAACGATATCATTAAAAAAATTATTAATATTATTACTAATACAAGTATCATTATTAATAGTAATAATAATGGAAAATGAACATGATATAAAATCATTTCATCGAATGCCCAGTGAAAGAAGGCGTAAATTATGGTCGTTAGCAGCACGTGCAGCTGTTAAATGCCCAGATGATGTTGAAAAAGATATAACAACTCAACATGAAAGTTCATTAATTAAAGAATCTGGATCATTAGCTAAAACTCAGGATTCAGGTGTTTCAGTAGATTTTGCATATGATAATCAACCATATTCAACATCATATTCACCATTTACTTCACATTCACATTGTCGTATAAGTTTAGATACTGAAAATGCTGAAAATTATGATTATGGTAGATTGTCAAGAGGTGTTAAAAGATTTTACGATCCTGTACAGAATGTTACTTTAAGTGCAGACCTAAGTGACACTGCGAATATTGAAAGAGGAAGAAGTTATGTAACAAAACGTAAATCAGTATTTTCAATACCTCACATTCCATCTCATATATCTTCTGCGAGTGCAAATATGAGACGTATTAGAAAGGCGTCTAAACAATTCGATACATCTATCAAACATGGTAGTGCAGATACATCAGGTTTAGGCAGTAGCCTAGATTGGGTATCTTTAGAAACCGGACAAACCCCATTCTACCGAAAAATGTCTTCACAATATGTACATAATCCAAGAACTATTATTACTGTTCATAAAAGTTTGGATGAAAAGCAAACTACTCGCCCTCTTGTTGTAAAAAAACACTTGACTAGTGATGATGGGGATACTGAAAGATATTTATTACAAGAGTTTCCCTTAAAAATATATACTTCCACTATAGCACCCGGAAATCCACAGGAATCCTTTTTAAATAGAGATTTTGTAAAATCCTCTCAACATAGGCAGAAGCCTGTAAAATTGCAGCAACCGGTTTATCAACCAGATTACCATCTAGAAACAACGATCAGTGTCAGTGAATCTGGTTCACCATACAGAGCAAAAAGTGATATTCCACCACGTCGTACTATAAGAGATCCTCATATGATAACAAGAAGCTTTGACCAGGCATATTATGCTCATAATATACCATACAATCACTCAAACATACCAACAACAAACGTATCCAGAAGTGATGTAGGCAGTGTACCACTAACTTATTTCGACCAACATGAAACAATAAACTGGCCAATTTTCACTGAAACTGATGTTAACCTCTCAAGATATGCCTCAGGTTTAGATGATGATACGCGAGAGAAAATGTTAACAGATATGCGGAATCGCTCAGTACATTGGGGTCCAATATATAGAAAAGATCGACGGTATTATCCAAAGGACTATTATTGGATGAACCAACAACAACGAAAACGACATGAACAGCAAAAATCGAAGACAATTTACAGGAGATCACATACATTAGGTGATAGTGTGGAGAATATTGACACTGATTGGATGCCAACTAGATCAAAAGCACAGTTAAAAACACAACTTTACACTACACCCCCACCGACTGATGAGAAAGAAGCTTACTATAATGGTTTATTAATGGAGCATAAACTTAAAGAACCTCATATGGATTTTCAAACCTTTTGTAGATTGAGACGATTAGGTCGATTTAATGAAAAATATCATTTTGGATTAGATACGGGCATAATAGATGAATCACAAAAATTATTACGAGAATCACAAGATTCTTTTCATCTTAAACCTACATATTCAACTCGTAGAAGATGGACTTCAGCTGAAATACCTGAAGTAAAAGTTTCACCAGTTTTTGCTGATTCAGCTGAAATAAAGTATGGTGAGAATGAAAGTAAGTTTTTTTTCCAAAATTACTCATCTGGACTTTTCTGTAGTTGTAAATGACAATAATCAAGAATATTTACAAGCAGACTAAATACTTCTTTTTCCATTCGTTTACCAGTTAAGTTGAAGACATAAAGCTTTTGTTTTTCTTGAGTCATTATAAAGATCAAAATTATTATCTAGGTGATTCTTTACAATTTTCAAATAATGATACCGGATAATGATGATTTGCTTTTTAGTTAATAGTGTAAAGAATATAAGAATATCTGTGGTTGGGATGAATAAAACCATTATTTTTTGAATGTTCAACATAATGTAATATATAAGATTTCGGAGCACTTTTCTGTTTATTTAAGTGACTAATGATGTATGTGAAGGTACAACTTTCACTAATGATTCCATTTTTGAGTCATCTAAACCTGTTTTACATATACCTTCTCTAAACAAACCACTGTTGTTTATCCCAACTTACTGGATGTAAAAGCAAATATAGTAAAACTTAAAGCTTCAAGTGTAATTTCCAGTGAATATCATGCTTTTATACACAATAAAGAATGAATGGGAAAAAAAATCCAAGAAAACTTTTGATATCTCACACAGATTGAATATTGAAAAACGGTTGTACTACAAATTATTGGATATATCTTATCCTTATTTTCCTAGTCAATAGACTTGTAATCATATTTGATGTCTAAATTCTACCGGACAGAACAAAATTGATAGAAGTCAGATCAGATTGTTTGTTCATTCTTTCATTTGTTTCATAAATGCAATTATTTAAATTAATAAGCAATTCAATAATATAAAACAATAAAATGGATTCATCAAATTCTGTTGATACATTGTAATTGATAAAGTTCAATCAAAGTTAGTATCCATTGACTGAAATCATGAACCGATTGATTTTAGACCACTATTGAAAACCTGGAAGCACTGGACGGCCATTTCGTCCATTTAATTGATCGCAAATAACCAAAAGTTAAAATTTTAAACTAGTCAACATTAAACGAATTTTTCAAACTAAAATTCATTATCTATAAAATCTAAAAGATCTAGGTTTAATAATTGACAACTGAAGAGTCACTAAATAAGTAGGGGTTAATTTTTTTTCTTTATACTTCGGTGATTTCTCAAATGATCATTAATTATATTTATATAATTAATTAACCATTATCCATCCACTTTAGATTTTACCCGTAATTATACAAATATTAAAAAGCAATAGACTATTTCCATTCCTTTTAAGTTCCTTAAAATATCGATTTTAATTGATTGATTTAACATTTTCATTGAAACTATTCATAATTAAAGAAATTCTGTGTATTTCTTTACAATATCAACTAATCTATTTAGATTATGTTGTATATTTACTTTATGATGAATCAAAACGCAACTAATAGTTTTGCAAAACAATTTTTTAATTGTTGTTAACTTGTTTATCATTAAACTAGTCAGGTTTTTATTATTTAAAATGAATTATATTACTGTGAATATAGGCATAATTTGAGATGGTGTAGGAGATTCGTAGCTTAGTTGGATGATTCTGAGGGAGTTTTGTTCTTTGAGCTGTATGTTTTGGTCATGTGGTTTAGTCGACCAAAACATACAGCTCAAAGAACAAAACTCCACCAGAACAATCATAATTTTATCGAATAAATAGATATATACTAGCAATTATGTGAAAAGTTTGGACAATTGTGGATTCGCATTACTGAAGAATCTCATCGTAGAACAAAACACCTGTTCAGTGTTTCTAGATTATTAGTGGTTATCTAATTTAGACAAGTTTGTGTTTTCAGCGGAAAAATAATGTGATTTTATCCAATTTTGTTAAACATTGTTCATTCAGTGTATGGAAAGAAATAATTTACACTGCCATTACGTATTACTATGAAGATAAGTAGTATATATGGATCGTTTAATTTGAATTAAACGATTACATTGAACTCATATCCTTTGAAGGACCAATGAAGACCAGGAAGAAGTTAGACAGTTGTTTCATTCTTGTCTTAGGATCCATGACAATACTAACTGATAATTTAGTAAGTATAAAACCTCACAATTGATTGATCACTGGGAGGCGATCAATGTCATGCGTGTCTAGTCCTTATTATTAGTGCAGACCGAATGCTATCGATCATGTTGCAATGTGGCCACTAGTCTAGGTGACTCGACGCTGTGGGCACTATATATTGGGATTAGATGGCGGTTGGAGGTAGTCGACAGGAAACCCTGGACCTGGGTTTCGTGCTACTTGGCACTCGTCATTAAGGTGTACCTGTAATCTTGAGGGAACTGGTGCTCCCTTTAACTATTAAATGAGAATCAGTCAGTCAATGTTTCCTTCTATATATCTATGATTTATCTTATTTTCCTAAATAAAAGAATCATGTAAGATGAATATCATTACTTCAAATACACTCGGAGTTAAAGCTTCGTTACCTAAAACAATGATACATAACACGTATTGATATTATGAAAATTAATATTATAGCGAGGGGTTTTGTGAATGTTATGATATTTTCATAGTTAAATTCATTAGTCGATTGAAGTTAGACCAACATGAAAAACCTAGAAGCACTGCTGAAGAATCTCAAACTAGGACGAAACGGCCGTCTAGTGCTTCAAGGTTTTCTACAATGGTCTAGCTTCAATTGACTCGTGAATTCAACTATTAAAATAAGATAATATTCCATTATTTACTAACAATTTTGATGCACATAATTGTTACATCCTTGATCTGTCTACCCACTTTTGTGCAGAGTATAACACGTCTAATCTAGATAGACTGACTGGCTTAACCTTGAGGCTAGTATGCATGAGATCAACTGCTTGAGGTATACAGACGAAAACTATCTCATCATCTGATTGGCTCACAAGCACGCGAGTGAGAGAAGACAAGTCAACTGGAATACTACACAATTTATTCCCAATTTCGATCTGTTTCCCGATTTCAGATTAGTGTAAAAAAGTACATGAATAAATAGATAACTAACCAGACCACAATGCACAACAATTAAGACAAATACAATTATATCCAAAACTGGAGAGATAAGCATAGAAAATAGAGTACAAAGTATTACGTTTAAATTACTATAATTTTGGAACAAAAAAAAGGTTATAACAGTGAATCATACATCAAACGAAAGCTTATGATCTATAGAATAGACTAGGGATAAAAATAAATGTTACTGTTCTTTTTTTACAAGCTTTGAATTAAATGAAATAACATCACCCTTCAAATAGCTTCTGTAGTTTATCAAAACTTCAATAATGTTGAAATTTAAAACTTCATAATATCTAAATATTCTTTGATGAACATACTTAATTCATTGATATCAGTAGTTACTATTAAACTTGACTTCATTTGAATGAATGTAGTATTTTTTTTTCTTTCTAATATGTCCTTTTCAAGGTCGTTTGATTGTTTTTCTTTCAACTAGATTTCGGACATTGAAAATGGGTTGAACATTAAAAGCAATCATTGAAAAACATAAATAATTGTTTGTTTTGTTGTTGTTAGTGGTGGTGATGGTGATGGTGCTTAATTGACTAATTAAATTAAATAAGAATGTAATTATCTGTCAAACAGGGTATTCGGTTGTTTGTTTTTCTTTAAGTTTCTTATTCCATCTGATTAGAAACTTTAAAGTACAAGAAATGGAGTAGTTACTAAGTTTAGTTTTTGACGAGTTTTTTCGTTGGTATTTCGATTTGAAATGTATTTGGTTTTTATGGATGTCATTTATTTGTTTTTGTAAAATCAAAGAAATAAGGTTTTACTAAATCATTGAATGAATATACAATGTAATAGTTGTATCTCTACCAGATTCTTGAATGATAACTAGATTTAGTTGAATGTTTTTTAATAATAAATGATATTAAATATGGGAGAGGTATTCAATTTGAAAATGAAATGTTTAGATTTGAATAGTTCATTTTGAATTATTTTAGATAAACATTTCTGTTGTTTCAAGACATAAATATATCAGTAGTTGAGATCATGAGTCAATTGAAGCTAGACCACCATGGAAAACCTGGAAGCACTGGATGGCCGTTTCTTAATAATGTGGGACTCCACAAAATTGCATATACAATATTCCAGCTCGCGAGATTCCAACTCAGGACCTATTTGTCTCACGCACGAGCGCCTAACCACTAGACCACTGGACTGGTATCCAGCGGTGTCAATGTCTAACTTCAACTAATCCATGAAATTGAACGACACATCCACCATTTTCTCGCGCGCGAGACTGATAGGTCTTGGGTTCGAATCCCGTGAAGTGAGTTCATGAATGGGCACTGCTGAGGAGTCCCAGGTTTTCCATGTTGGTCTAGCTTCAATTGACTCATGATCTCAACCAATGAAATTACTACGAACTCCACAAAATCCCTTCTGATACGTAAATATATGTTAGTAATAACCTAATTATTTCTAAGTTGGTAATTTAACTGAGAAATCAACAGTCACAAATTTAGTTTATAGTGTGAAAACAAATGTATCATCAAGATGTATTTTTGAACTATTTACTTTGTTCAAATAAAAAATTCTATTGGGTTAGTAACGATCTTGATTTCCGAGAGTAAGTTTATTTGATAAATTATATTGCATACCTGACTTTTAAGTATACTCAAGCAGAACAGTATACTGTATAACGTTTAGAAAAGTTGTAATTCTGATTGATTCTATATTTGTTACATTTTCCAATCAGTGGGAATCACAGGGAACTTGTCGTTTTCTAAGGTACCTTACTTGTGTTTCTACTAGTCACAATCTAAGAACATAGTTATAAATGCCTAAAATTGAAACGCTGTTTTTTGTGATATGGTGACTTCATAGTCACAGGAGAGCGAAATAGATTCAAACATTTCCTCTTGGATAGTGCTATAAAATGCCAAAAATGGAAGTATTAAAGCTCTAATTAGAGGGCTTAGAATGCGATATAAAAATGTTAATAATTGAAAATTGTAAGACGGACTGCGTAATAAAGTTCTAGTTGCAGCTTA